TTTACCTTTAAGTTCCGTTACTAGATAGTAAATTAGGTGATTAGAGCCAATTTTTTTGTCAGACATCGACTAAACAAAAGAGAATTATACATTTAAGAAACGGAACCCCCCTTTGAAAAATCCTGGATCCGCCCTGCAATGAAACAGCCGCGATGTTGGTTGATCTAACAAGAGAAGCTAATGAGGAATGCTTTATTATCGTGAACCAACATGGTGACTATGACGAAACATGCACCCCAAGAATTTTTGTGGCGGATTTTATTAGTTCCCCTCAGGATGGACTGTTTTTTTGATGACGTCACATATTCTCTTATTGAGGCTTACGTGATGAAACTGTTTTCTAATGACCCCCCTCCCCCACGGGATCCTTCTGTCCCCCGCCCCTCCCCGGTTAGAAATAAACGGTACAATACAGACAGTCAAGGTCAGACTATTCTTGTATATCATTTAATGACTCATAAACAAAAACAAACAACAACAACGACAAAGACAAAAACTCTTAGTTCCAGCATAGTTATTGTAAGAGCGGAATGGTTGGGAAACCTATTGTTCTATATTTTTGTTCGACTTTATCCATCGTTATATGACGTTGACCGTGCACAGTGAAGGAAAAGTTGCTGCGTTTTTTCATAGTATTTGCGAATATAGGAGTTTCTTTCACAAAAAAAAACGTCTAAAGATAGTTATTATTTGTTAATTGATCATATGTGATTAAGATTAATTGTTTATATATTGAAAATTAAATCGCCTTTTTCATGCTTTCTTACTTATCAGGGCATCTAGTAACTTAATTGTATCTGCGCGGAAATATTTCTTAGCATATAATAGTTTGTGGTCATCGAATAAACGTTTTTAATAGCAAAATGTCCATACATGAAGATAATAAGGAAATGTGTATTTTTAACCAAACTTTGGTTCATTGTCTACGGTCAATCACGTGATGGTACGGTTCAACCTCAAACGCAAAACAATAGCTTTGTTCTATGGAGTTTCCAAACCATTTCACTCCATTTACTATGGTTGCAGCCAAAAACGTTTGAGTGTAAAATATTTATTCATCATTCAAAATCAAAACAATCTTACACTTCTTTTTCATTGTCGCTTGTCAGATTATAACTTGCTTTCTTATTCTAAGGCAATACATTAGTGTTCATATTTATGAGGGAAATGGTTTTTAGGTTGTCATAGCAACAGAACACAAGACCTACCATGACCAGAGTGCATTATGGGTATTACAAGTTTGTTGATGTAATAATATAAAGCAGTAATCTCCTTAAGCTGAACAAAAAAGGACTACATCGTAGATAAGAGCTTTTAAAAGAGTCAAAGTTTGAAAGAAAATTTGATTTTGATTTGTTATGAGTATAATGATGGTTATATATAGACATTAATAATAGCTGATTCTAATTTACACACCAGACACCAGAACCACACGTACTGACTAGTAACTGACCATCCTTTAAAACGGTCATATATACAGGTTCATTGATTACAACACAAGTCCTTCCTACAAAACGACCATCCAATGTGAATTTTTGTACTCGCATATTACCAAAATCACACACCAGTAGATGATGGTCATTATCAATAGCCAGGCTCCATGGTCCACGCAGCTGACCATAAGCACTGCTTTGACCACCAATCGTCGATATTCTAGTCGGTACGTTGCCTTTCTTCTCAAATACCTGAATAACGTGATTACTATAATCACTGACGTAAAACAGTCCATCATGTGTTATCACATCATATGGAGTAAACTCGTCCTGTGCTGTAAAACCAAACTGATATCGATAGTGGCCGTCTCTTGTGAAGACTTGAACACGATGATTACCACGATCACACACAATGATCTTACCATCGTCATCAACGTGTACTCCAAGTGGATTACTCAATCCTCCATCCCTGTTACCTTGGTTACCAAAGGTTTTTACCAATGTCCCTGTTGTAGTGTTCACTATACATATTCTATGATTACCATTGTCTGATATGACTAAATCTGTATCATTCAGAAATGCTAAACCTTCAGGAT